CCTATAGCCTTAAAGGCGTTTAGAATAGTTATTTTCTTAAAGGAGGCCTGCTAGGCTATATAAAAGAGAGGGAAGAACTCCCTTTTACTTATTAACGTTAGCCCTTGACTCCTATCTATAAAGGTAGAAACCTCGTTTAAGTACGCTATTAAGTGTAACGGCGCAGGTAAGGCAGGTCGGATCTGTTTCGGTCGTAGGATCACTCAGAGGCATATGGGAGTGCGTGGGATCACAAAGAGCCTAGATTCAACAAGCCACCTATAGGCCTTGTACGAAAGGATATCAAAAGTCTACAGAGCTAGCTACAGGGAGTGTCTCAATATATACCTATCCTAGTCGGGTCCGAATTCGGATCCGACCTCGGGCGAATGGCTGATGAAGGGCGGCAGGTACTTCCTCCGATCCGGCTCTGGGATTGGCTCAATACTTGGCGAAGTTGTAACATCGTTACATTAAGAGAGGCTTAAACATGCTAACGTTAAGAGGCTATAGTGTGTAGGTTAAGTAAGGAGGATAGACTATAAGGAGGATCTTATTTTAATCACAATAATTAATAAAATCTATTATAAGGTAAGATCTATAGCTATTAAGGATAAGTAGTCGGTAGGAGGAGCGTGCCTTTGCCTTTGTACTGCGATTAAACACCTATTGCAGCCACGCGAGTCCTATCTTATTGTTCGTCTAGCTAGAAGAAGAGGAGGATAGTCGTATTTAGTGTATATTAGGATTAAGGGCCTGCAGCTAGGTGTCCTATATCAATCCTAAGGCTAACTGATATATTAGGGCAGGCTCGAGGTGGGATCCGTTAGCGCAGATACACGCTAGGAGCGTTACCTACTGCTGTAAGCTATTCTGTATAGTAATCCTCTCTTTAATACCTTTATACAAGGCCTTACTAAAGATCCTTCTTAATTAACTAATAATACTTAGCATAAAGCCCTTCTTATCTATATTGTAGATATAACGCGCTTTAACCTAATACTATCTAATCTTATCGCCTAGGAGGCTAAAGTAGAGGCTATACTTGCTTCTTAAATCTACTTTGTGGCGATAGTTATCAAGGCCTGCTGCCTACCTTAAAATAAGCTAATTAGGATAGCGCTAAATAAAGCGACTAACCTAGTGTACTCTAACCTCTATCTTAGCGATCTGCGAGGCAAAATTGCGTATTATTAACTAAGTAAGTAGTAAGCTTCTATCTATTATTTAATTAATATAAGCAATTAGGGCCTACTCCTGCTGTAGGTAGAAAAGCTATCGTTTTTCCACCTATTGCGCGCGAGGAGTATAGGCCTTAGTGTCTTTAAGTAAGCGTAGATTAAACAATACTATATTTATTTACAATATCTATATACGAAAAAGGGTTACTAGGCTCTAGGGCATTAATAGCTGCAAGCGCAGCCTCAATATTAGCTATGGTGGTGGAGATACGACGCCTTGAGGCAGAGGTGTCTACTAGGGTGCGCGCGCACTTTGTGGTCGCGCGCACTTTGTGGTGGGGCTAGTTATATAGTTGTAATTGCAAAAAAAAAATAAAATTACATGCGCACATGTGACGAAACTGAGAAATAAAAACGCCTAGCCGGTAATGGGAAACCCCGTTTGCATTGTCATGTCACACATGTCTCACTCCCGGACTAAGCACCTGGACTGAATGAAACGAGTATGTTAATTGTTAATTGCTAATTGCTGATTGCTGAATTCTCTTCCGGCTCCGTCCATGGTTACGCTAGCTATGCTGCAAGTCTTTGTTCATGCTTCTATATGCTTATTATTACACTCTACCAGCTGCCTGATGCCTGATGCCTGATGCCTGATGGTGCACGCCCAAATCAAGGAAATCAAATTTGATTGCAGAATGGGGCATGGCATCTGAGATAATTAAAACAAAAAAAATACGCTATGTACTATGTACTATGTACTACGTCTTTGTTGCTGGAAAGGAAATGAAGGAGATGGGAAGAAAGAAAATGGAAGGGAAGAAAAAAAAAGTGTGCATGTAGGATGTGCTTCTAGGGAATAGTAAGTAAGTAAGTAAGTAAGTAAGGAAGGAAGGAAGGAAGGAAGGAAGGAAGGAAGGAAGGAAGGAAGGAAGGAAGGAAGCACGATTGTCAGGTTCCTTGTCTTTGTTCCTGATATTCTTCTTCATCTTCATCTACATCTCACGAAATGAAAAAAAAAGAAAACCAAAAAAAAACAATCAAATCAAATCAAAAAAAAGACAAAGATGATGAATGCACAAAAAAACGTGAGGGAGAAGAAAAGTAAAATTTCATACTCTTACATATCACACACAGTATACACTTCCCCATTACCTCTCTACACTACGTCTCGCAGAATTAGGACTAGCCTCACGCTCACGCTCACGCTCACGGCGCGAAACAGCAGCAGAAGCAGTAGCGGTATGACTAGGCGGACCCCGAAAACTCGGCTGCTTGAACATATGCCTATTCAACTGCGCAGCACCAGCACCAGCACCAGGCTGTGTGGTAGTAGTAGTAGTAGCGCGACGCAGCAAGGGACTAGGCGACGAAGCGTTTCCAAGGCCCATCGATCTCCCATTTGCATATGCAGGCGAGGAACTCGGGATGATTGTAGACGAAGGCGAGTGAATCGGGGTACCAGGGCGCGATCTCGGGAGCGTAGAAATAGGCGTAGAAGAGCGACGTGCAACAGGGTACCCCTCGTAATCGAATTCAGAAGTCCCGTCGTCGTTACCAACATGTGCATCGGGGTCGGCCTCGTGCAACTCGTGCTCGAGGTACTCTTCGCCGCGGCGCTTGATGGGGCTTTCGTCGTAGGGATCAAAGCCGACGCGTAGGCGGGCTTCGCGGCGGACGCGGCGCCGCATTTCGGCGTCGCCGCCGGCGCCGACGGTGCTGCTGTCTGAGAGGAAGAAGTTGAGGAATTCGTCGGGGATGGCCAGGTGTGAGGATTGCTGGAATTGCTGGAGCGCTGTGAGGCGGATGAGCATTTCGAGTAGGGAGAGCGACGTTTTGATCGCGGGCAGACTGGTGGTGCTGGGTGAGGCGTAAGGGGCGGGTGCGGACGTCTTTTCCGGTGAGGACATGATTTGGTTGTTGGGAGTGGGTTTGGGCGAGCAGGATGGCGTGTCTGGTCGGAGATTGAGGTTGGAGAAGCGGTTGAGGAATGAGGAGGAGTGGGATCGGTCGTTGGGTGTAGGGCGGCCGGTGGGGGTGGGCGACGAGACGCTTTCTTCTACGTCTTCGGTGTCGTCGATTTCAGAGTCACTGCTCGGGTCCTCGGTGTACACTTCAAATGCCATCCATTCAAGATCCAGTGTAGGAGGAAGACGCCAGGGATATGCTGGCTGCTCTGGTTCTTCTGGTGCTGCGGGCTCTGGGTTTGGCGTCAGTTCGCGTCGTAGTTGCTCTTCTAGTTGGCTTTGCTCGAGATCTGATTCATCGCCAACAGTGTGAGAATCATCCGACTCGTAATCCGTCTCTGTGTCTCGCTCCATCATGCGGCGTGGAGGTGCTGCATTGACGTCCCTCTTCAAGAGTAAGATTGGATTGTTGCTCTCGCCATCGGCGCCAATGTTGAGGATCTTGCCTGTGTCGGCATAAAAGATTTTGGAAATTTCATGGATGGGTATGATTTCCCGCACGCCTGCCTGGCTAATGCCATCATAAGGCTCTGGACGCGGCTCTCCGTCTTCGTAGTCGTGCATGCGGCCGTCGTCTAAATCCTCGACGATGAGAAGCTGGTAGGCAAACTCTTGTATTACGCTGTCAGACGGTATGTGAGCGTGGTTGGCCTCTTGGGCTCGGCTACTATCCTGTCCAAACGGAGTAGGATAGTCATAGACATTGTCCAGTGGTACCCGCATAAGCGTGACACGCGCCTTGTGCATGACCTCTTTCCAAGTAGTCTCTCGCAAGTCTTCTTCATGGGGTCGGTTTGCATGGCCTGAAAACAACATGTACAAAGACAGGGTGAATGTTGGTCCGATCTGCTGGGCTCTCGGCTTGGATGCGCAATATTGCATGTCACCGGAAGTAAGAAAGGTACTGGCTTGTAAAAGTCGTGACGGCGACACTGTAGCTGGGAGGGTGGTGGAGAGGTTGACGCCTGAAGTGGTAATGGCGAGGTTGATAAGAGGCACTGCATCTTCGATGCGCTCCAGCAGCCTCTTCATCTCGCCGATGATGACTTTGAGTTCCATGTTGTTTTGGTCTCGTGACTTTGCTCTCGAGCTCCCTCTCCTAGTAAGCTGCTCCTCGGCTACGGCCTTCTCGACCCGACTGCCTAGCGTCTGGATGTCCCAACGCAGCGACTTGGTCAGTCCCACGGCAGACTCAAGCGACGTGTTTCCACGTGCTGCGATCAGTTCAATCATGTCGATGGCGGGCGAGATGATCTTGATCTTGGAGTCTAGCCGGATCTGCAGCGCGGCCAGTTCCTGTTTCTCCTGGCCATCGACAGTCCTCATGAGGCGGCCGCATTGCTTGAGCGCATAGTGGCTGGTGATGGCTATGCCGCTTCGGATGGCATAGCTCATTGCCTGCTGGGTGACCTGTTCCGTCGTCAGCCTGCTGCAAGGAGAAAGGCCATGTGACTGGTGTACGAAGAATCACAGCCGGCATACCTTTGAGAGGAGGACGTCCATGTCGACCAATGACGAGCTTGGTCTAGATGGCTGAGATGGTTATATGGGCACAGCGAGCGACTGGGCCGGGAGCAGCAACCCGAACATGAACTCGCGGGCGATAAGTATGGGTGCCCGAGAGACAAAGAGTCAAGCTGTGGCGACGTGCCAAAGAAACGAACAGGCCTGAAACCCGGTTGCATAAAGAATGGGCTGCTTGTTTGCCTCTGCCTCTGCCTCTGCGAGGGCGCCCTGGCCAATGTTAGGCAGCGAGGGCGGGCCACACTTGAGTCAGCCCCACTCAGCCACTCAGAGCGACCCCGCCAAATCCGTGCGTGGGCATCAACGACACGGCAACATTTTCACTTTTCGCCGACGACACTCGACCGCAGCGTATATAGCCCGCACGCTGCTCCACGCCTCCCCGCCCGCTACACGGCCCCTCTTTACGTGACTCGCTTTTTGCCTCGCCCCAGCCAGCGCATACCCCTCCCCACGAACCACACCCCCCGCGCGCCCTCAGCCTTGGGCTCGCCTCCATCACAGCCTTTCTCGTCCATTCCGCCAGCGCTCTCAACATGGCTGACAGCTGGGAGCAAGAGGAGGAGAGGCTCTCGCAGCAGGCCCAGGGCATGAACCTGAACAGTGCGCCCACCTTCACCCCCGGAGCGCAGTCGTTCCAGCCTGGCGCCAGCTCGTTTGTGCCAGGCCAGCCCTACGGCGGCTACCAGAACTACAACCAGTATGGCCAGCAGCAATACGGCGGATACAACCAGTACGGCCAGGGCCAATACTACCAGCCCCAGCAGGGTTACCCTCAGTATGGCCAGCAATATGGCCAGCAGCAGGGCTACCCCAACTACGGACAGTACCAGTCTCAGCAGAACTTCCAGCCCCAGCAGCAACAAGGCCAGGCCCAGGTGCGGATAGCGAAGCGAGGAGATGCCGACGTGACGGGCTCAGAGAGCGCCGCCCCCGCCCCCGCAGCTGAGACCAAGAAGGAGGCGCCCAAGGCAAAGGTGCTGTCCATTGGCGGCGACAGCGCTCCCAAGGCCAAGGTCCTATCCATTGGCGGAGACGCTGCTGCTCCCAAGGTCGAGAAGGCGGGTGGTACCAAGGTCCTCAGTCTTGGAACACCCGGCGCTCCATCAGCGGCGAAAGAGAAGGCAGACAAGGAGAAGAACACCATTGATGCTGGAACAAAGGTTACGGCCGCCAAGGCGATCGAGAAGACGGGAGAACCCACTCCTGCCTCGGCAGGCTCTGGACGCACGTCACCAACGCCTTCGTCGGGTCGCAACAGCCCAACCCCCAAGGAGAAGGCTGCTGAAAAGGCCATTGCCAAGCAACAAGAGGTCGAAAACGAGATAGCTGAGGTCGACGATGCGACTCTGGCCGAGATATACGGCAAGGAGCACGTCAACATCATCTTCTTGGGTCACGTTGACGCAGGAAAGTCTACCCTAGGTGGCAGTATCCTCATTTCCACTGGCATGGTCGACGAGCGAACCCTCGACAAGTACAAGAAGGAGGCCAAGGATGCTGGTCGAGAAACCTGGTACATTTCATGGGCGCTCGATTTGAACAAGGAGGAGCGACAGCAGGGTAAGACTATTGAAGTCGGCAGAGGATTCTTCGAGACAGAGAAGCGAAGATACTCCATTCTGGATGCCCCGGGCCACAAGACGTATGTTCCCAACATGATCAGTGGTGCTTCGCAAGCAGATGTTGGTATCCTTGTCATTTCTGCTCGAAAGGGAGAGTACGAGACTGGGTTCGAGAAGGGCGGTCAAACCCGAGAGCACGCCATGCTGGCCAAGACGCAGGGTGTGAACAAGATTCTCATCGTCGTCAACAAGATGGACGACCCCACTGTCGAGTGGTCCGAGGACCGATTCAAGGAATGCACAACGAAGGTTGTAGCCTTCTTGAAGGGTCTCGGATACAACCCAAAGACAGACATCAGCATGATGCCTGTCAGCGCCCAGACTTTCACCGGTATCAAGACCCGTGTGCCCAAGGTAGGAAGAAAGGAAAATGATTCCTGGAGCTGCACTGACTTTGTTGCTTAGGAACTAGCACCATGGTACGATGGTCCATCTCTACTTGAGTACCTAGATAGCATGCAGGCCCTTGAGCGCAAGCTTAACGCTCCCTTCATGATGCCCATTGCCGCCAAGTACAAGGATATGGGCACCATGATCGAAGGAAAGATCGAGTCTGGTATCATCAAGAAGGAGAATAAGTAAGTTGTTCATAGAGGATTTGGCGAGGCATACTGACTCTGTGAAGGTACCTCATGATGCCCAACCGACAAGTCATCCACATCTCGGCTCTGTTTGGCGAGCAAGAAGAGGAAATTCCTGGTGCGGCTTGCGGTGACCAGATTCGTGTACGAATCCGAGGTGTAGAAGAAGAAGACATTCTGCCGGTAAGCAAATCGTGAGTTTCTATGGTTGTATTTGAAGCTGACGATAAATTTGTAGGGCTACGTTCTTTGCTCACCAAAGCGCCCCGTTCACTGCGTGTCTCAGTTCGAGGCCCAGGTTGTACTCCTGGATATCAAGTCCATCTTGACTGCTGGTTTCAACTGTGTGCTACACGTCCACGCTGCGCAAGAAGAGGTCACCATCAGCGCACTGCTGCACAAGCTCGAAAAGGGCACCGGAAGACGGTCCAAGAAAGCGCCCGGTTTCGCGACAAAGGGCATGAGCATCATTGCCAGATTGCAAATCACTGGAGCGGCTGGAAGCATCTGTGTTGAACGCTTCGAAGACTACCCCCAGCTTGGTCGTTTCACTCTCCGTGACCAGGGTCAGACGATTGCGATTGGAAAGATCACCAAGCTTATCACGGATGCAGATGCTTAAGTCCCCCGGCGGTATAGGTTAGAGGAAAAGGCGGGAAAAGATTGGGACTACAGGCGGTACGACTCTCGGCTCTGAGCACTACGCGGCATGAGGGTTGGATGGCGTCACGGGTGCGAGAACAGCATAGACCTATCATCTAAAAGAATATGATTGCGAAAACGTTCAATCTTGGTACGACGATCCCTGTATGCTCACGCACTCGATTTGGAAATATGCATGCATCCAAAGTCGTGTTATGCGGCTATTGCACATTCGGCCCTAATCGCGTCTCAGAGAGACAAGCCTTTTAGTGCTGCAATCCACGACAACCTTAATTAATTTCCATGTCTGGTAATATACTCTTGAGCCTCCCATTTAGGCTTCGAGGGCGACAGCGTCATCAAATCGCGCATTTTATTGATTTGGGTGACGTCACATGCTACGGCCTAACGACGATGCAGGACGCAGTCAGCAGACGCGACGGAAGACCGGGGCTGCTTCATTATCTCATAAATCAGACGCTCCGCCTACAACGCTAGTTTAACACTAACGCCTAGCGTCCCTACTAAAAATTTTATCAACTTCTAGGCTAATTATCTACAATTATATAAAATAACTATAAAAGTATAAGTAAAGTATTTAGAAATTGTTAGTTTTTACTTTAGTAATAATTAAACTAGATAACTACTAAAAATTTTATTATAAATTTATTAATACTTTACTACTACTTGAAAATATAGTATTTTTTTCAACTTATTTCAAAGTATGAGTATTTTTTATTTATTATATATAAATAAATAATAATAATGATATTATAGTAACTATAAAGGACTTTTTTAAAGCTAAAAATATATAAATATAAATGTTACGTATGTAACGGGCTGAACGCCCTTTAGATAGCTCCTCGATGGAATCTCGGTCAAGCAGCAGACGCCAGGTCTTACTCTGCAACCCGGCATCTGTGCGAGGCCTGAGCGGCGCCCAGACGACGCGCTTAGACACTTAGTGCAACCTTTCTCTGACAAGTAAATAAACACCACGCAAGTAGACTCTATAGCTCTCTATTAAATACAACCTCTTGTATACCTCGCGATTGCTCCCTAGAGCGCAGCCCCTTACATTTTGTATTTAATCCCAATTAGACATAAGCCTTAGGCGGACTATCTTCTAACTAAGTTTTAGAGCGTGTTGTTAGTGCGAGCTAGTAATATAGAGTTAGTGCTGCAATAGGTACGAAAGGCCTTTAGTGCAGCGAGAAGGTAGACTATCGCAAGACAGTACACCTAGGGCAGAGCTTCGCAGGAAGTTCAGCCGTGAGAGACAGTAGGCGATTTAGTCGCCCAGGACCTGTCTAGGAAGTCCTACCATGTCTTGGAAAGCCAAGCCGTAGGCGCAACGTCGCGTGATAAACTACCTAAAGGCCACTCAGGCCTAGCGTATAGTTAGCTAGAAGCGGACGTTGTAGTAAGAAGTCCTGTCGATCCTCTATCGGACGGGGTGCAGGCCGTGCGATTACTCTCAATCGGAGACGAGATCCCACGAGCGAGACGGCAAGACGCGAGTCTTCCTAGGGACGCGACACAACAGCAGCTAAACGCTGTTTAGAACTGGCTAGAAGAGAAGTACGGCCAAAGGTAAGCCCTACTAGTCCTCACTAACAAGGAGTAGGCCGCAGTCAAGGACTGCGCGAGTAGATCGAAGGACGATTAGAAGCCCTGTACACTGGCAGGCAAAGACAAAAGACGTCTGAAGACGAATTAGACAATGGAGGCCAACGCTCCTAACTTGAACGTTGAAGAGCTAGCGGCTTACGCCACCACTAAGAGCTAGGCAGGAGTCCCGGACGAAGAGATCCTGCGTGAGATCACGCAGATGCTGAGAGAGGACGGATGGAAGGAAGCAGCGATTGGGCCAACGATCGAAGCAGTCGTTAAGCGATCATCAGTCGTAGGGGGGAAGGGCTCACCAAGGCAGGAGGGCTCACCGAAAGCTAATTAGAACGCCGTGGCCCAAGTAATGGAGCAGATGATGCAGCTGCTTAGCCCAATGGCTAGTCGCCTAGAGGCACTTGAGAGGAACCAAGCCGAAGGACGTTTGGAGTCATCCCCAAGAGTCGACACTCCTCTACCACCACTAACAACAGTCGCCAAGCTAGCAGCCCGCAAGAATAAGTTTCCCGACCTAGAGCGTTTTAATAGGACACGTAATAACTACCTAGGTTAGAAATTTGAGTGCGAAGGGAAGCTAGAGTACGACTACGCTATGTTCCCAACAGAGGACGCAAAGGTCCAATACGTGCTTAGTCAAACGAAGGGCAAAGCAAACCAGGTCCTTCTTCCCTAGGTGCTTGAGAATAAGGAACGAACTATGGCCGGCCTATAGGAGCACATGGATACTCACTTCTAAGACGTGCACTAGCAGCAGCGTGCGCTAAACAAGCTTCAGCACTTAAAGCAAGGACGACGACCAATACGCGACTATGTCTTGGAGTTCAACCAGCTTCGCGTAGAGTCCTAACAGCAGTTTAGCCTAGCAGTAGCTT